AATTGAAGTTGATGCAACCCACCTCAAGCGGGCTCTATAAAGCTCCACCATACTACTTTCTACTACTAAATGCTAACCCAACTCCTTTCAATTTCTCACAAAAAAAAAAAAAAACCATCAAATCAAGAGATCCAAAAATGGAGTTGAGAATCAGAGAAAGCAGAGAAAGAATCATCAACTCCACAACCACCTTCTCATCAACAGCTTCAACCAGCAGCAGCAACAACAACAACAACAACAACATCACCAAAAAGAACAAAGCCATAGCTTAGTGCAATGCTGATGCTAGTCTCCTCTCTGAATTTGAACAATCTTCAGACTTTGGTAAATCCTTCAACTACTCAAGATCAGTCATTCACGCCCCAGAAACTGTCCCTGAAGAACAAATCACAGCTTACCTCTCTGGGATTCAGAGAGGTGGTTTAATCGAATCCTTTGGTTGTATGCTTGCAATTGTTGAACCCAGTTTCAAAATCACAAGTTATAGTGACTATTGCTTTGAGTTTTTGGATTTAGACACACTTTTTGAGTCAAAACAAGAAATGGGTCTAGTGAAATTTCACTGTCAAACCCAATTTGGGTCTATTCTAGAAGTACCCAGAAGCCATTTTATGCTATACTTCATAGGATTGATGTGGGTTTTATAATTGACTTGGAGCCTGCACTTTCGGGTGATCCAGCTTTGTCGCTGGCAGAGGCTGTGCAGTCTCAGAAACTGGTGGCGAGAGCAATTTCTAGGCTGCAATCTGTCCCTGCTTGTGATATTGGTGTTTTGTGTGATACTGTTGTTGAAGATGTTCAACAGCTAACCGGGTATGATAGGGTTATGGTTTGTAACTTTCATGACGATGATCATGGTGAGGTTGTTTCAGAAACTAGAAGGCCTGATTTAGAACCCTGCTTGGGATTACATTTTCCGGCAACGGACATCCCACATGCTGCTTGGTTTTTGTTCAAGCAGAACCGAGTTCGGATGATTTGCAATTGTCTTGCGAATCCGGTTAGAATAATTCAAAGCAAAGAGCTAAAACAACCTCTTTGCTTAGTAAATTCAACCCTTCGCTCACGCCATTCTTGCCACAAGAAGTATATGGCTAACATGGGTTCAATTGCCTCATTGGTGTTAGCGATTGTTATCAATGACAAAGACTCAACGAAGCTATGGCGCTTACTGGCGTGTCACCATACTTCCCCTCGCTACATTACTTTCGCACTTCGCTGTGCTTGTGAATCCCTAATGCAGGTATTCGTGTTGCAGCTTCACATGGAACTTCAATTGACATCACAATTGGCGGAGAAAAAGGTTCTCCAAATGCAAACTTTGTTGTGTGACATACTCCTCCGCAATGCCCCATGTGGGATTGTGACTCAATCGCCTAGTATCATGGATCTTCTGAAATGTGACGGGGCTGCGTTGTACTATGGTGGGAAATGTTGGTTGCAAGGTGTAACTCCAACTGAGTCGCAAGTAAAAGATACTGCAAAGTAGCTGTTGAATAATCAATGGGATTCAACCAGATAAAGCACGGAGAGTCTAGCCAATGCTGGTTACCCTGGTGCATATTTATTGGGCGATGCGGTTTGTGGCATGGCATGGCAACTGCAAGAATTACATCGAAAGATTTCTTGTTTTGGTTTAGGTCTCGCACCGCAAACAAAGTCAAATGGGCAGGAGCTAAGCATCATCCTGAGGATAAAGATGATGGTGGAAGAATGCATCTGAGATCTTCGTTCATAGTGTTTTGTGAAGTGGTTAGAAACACAAGTTTGCCTTGGGAGGTTTTGGAGATTAATGCTATTCAATCTTTGCAGCTTATAATGAAAGTTTATTTTCGAGAGATTGAAGACGGTGATGATACTAAGATGGTAATATACACACAACACAATGGTTCTGAGGAGAAGGGGATGGATGAATTTAGTTCGGTGTCGTGTGAAATGGTTAGATTGATTGAGAGAGCGTCTACTCCTATTTTTGGGGTTGATTTGGCTGGTTTTACCAATGCTTGGAGTGCAAAAATCGCTGAGCTGACAGGATTACAAGCCAATGAAGCAATGGGGAAATCTTTGTTTAATGTTGTTCATGAGGATTTGCGTGGAGTCGCTGAAAACCTTATAAGCAGAAGTTTGCAAGGAGATTTTTTTTCTTCTTATATTAATGATCTAGAACACTATTAATATCTTATATGTAGAGCTTTGCAAGGTGAATTTTCCCCTATCTTAATGATCAAGAACACTATCTTTATATACTAATAGTAATATCTCTATTTTCACAATCAAATTTTATTTTCTATTCAATTTCTATGAACAGTTTGTCTAAGGTTCTTTGTCCTGATTTCTAGGTTAATGACTAAGATTCTCTTGAAGAAGTTCAACTCCAATGACACCGTGGTTCTAAATTTAGTTTAATTTTATCCAGGTGAGGAGGAGAAAAGTGTTGAACTAAAGCTGCGAAAGTTTGGGCTAAATGAGCAAAACTCAGTATTATACATTGTGGGCAATGCCGGTGTGAGGAGAGATTGCACAAAGAAAGTTATGGGTGTGTTCTTTGTTGGTCAAGACATCACATCTGAGAAAGTTGTCATGGATAAATTCATCCGATTGCAAGATGATTATAAGGCAATCATTCAAAGTCTCAATCCGTTGATTCCACCAATATTTGGTGCAGACGAAAAGGCTTGTTGTTCTGAATGGAATGCAGCCCTGGAAAAGATAACTGGTTGGACGAGACAAGAGATAATCAGCAGAATGCTTCCCGGGGAAATTTTTGGGGGGGTTTGTCGATAGAAAGGTCAAGACACGCTCACTAAATTTAATATTCTACTTCAACAAGTGATTAACGGTAATGATTTTGAGAAGTTGCCATTTGGGTTTTTTGATAGGAATGGGAAATATGTGGAGGTGCTCTTAACAGCAAATAAGAGAACCGATGAGGCAGAGAATATAATCGGGTGTTTTTGTTTCTTGCAAACTATTGTGTCTGGCGTGCAAGCCTTTTGGAAACGAAAAAGAGAATGAAGAGCGCGTTTCGAAACTTAAAGAGTTGGTTTTTATTCGACAAGAGATGAGAAATCCATTGAATGGAATACGGTTTATCCACAAACTACTGGAAAGTAGTGCTGTTTGGGAGGATCAGAAGCAACTTCTTGAGACTAGCGATGCGTGCGAAAAACAAATGATGTCAATCGTAAACAATATAGATTTGGGTAGTATTGAGGAGGAGTAAGTTTTTATCTCTTTGAATCCAAGTCTTGCACCAATTCAAAATTTTTTTTTTTTAATTGATTAATTTAGTTATTATATTAGATGCATCACTCTTTTTTATGCCTGCTTGCTCTGATGAGGGCTTGCAGTGGGAGAAGATGACTTTCCTGTATCTCTGTGTATGAATTACATAAAAAACAAATGTTTTTTTGTTTTGTTTAAGGTCAGGCACATTAATGTTTCAAAATTTTGTTTCAGTCTATTGTTTCGATTAGCATGGAAAAAGAAATGTTTCAGAAGTGACAAAACGAATTTAAATATATATAGAAATGTTTGGAAACATAAATTGAAATCTGTTGAAACGAATAAACAGCTAATCATTGGTTAGTTAAACATATTGATATTTGTATAGTTGTTCACATTAGAGAGCATTTGTAAAATGAAAGAAATCAATGTTGCTATGAATAAAAGATTGTTAAATATTGATTTCATTTTATTAAAAAGAAGTGTATATGATTCTAAAAGCACAACAAAATAAGTTGTAAATATTTACTTTCAGATTCTGTTTTCAACATTTTTTTTTCTTTCCCTTTCTTGGTTCTTTAGAATGACTCATTCTGGGCAAGGCCTGCCTTATGCTCTGATTCAAGACATGTTTGGAGAAGGAAATCAATGGACTACACAGGAATGACCGAGTCTAAACTTGTCCCCGAAAACTTCTCAACATGATGAATGGTCACGTCCGTTACACCAGAGAGCAAGATGCGTGTCACTTCCTCATTGACCTCAAATTCAGAACAAGGTCATCAAGACAAAGGGAATGAATGGCCGCTCAAAAGTGGATAGCGAGCAGAATAACTAGGTTTCATTTCCAGAATGTTCTAGAAGCATCTATGATGACGGTTTCATAGTATGTAACTTCTATTATGCCTCGGGTTAGTTTTCGCTGTACATGTTTTGGAATAAGAGCATCTTTTATTGTGTGCTTCAACCATTTCTTGTTAGTGAATGTGTAAATATTTATGTACTCACGAACTGAAATTGCAGTGTGCTGTGGTAACTTCAGAGTTAAAGCTTTTGTTAGTCTTTTAGAAAATGGATTCCTATTTAAAGAATAAGCCATCAATTTGGGATGTAATTCGAGATTTTCATAGGTAGATACAGTGAAAGAATTGGAATATAATACTATTGATTCATACAGAAGATGGCATCGACACTTCACCTATGGTATAGAGATAGGGATAGAGAAGGAAGAAAAAAAAAATTCATACAATACTATTGATTGAACAATCAATTTGATTTATGAGACTTCACGAGTATAGTAAAAAATAAGTGTAGGAAAATATTAAATAAAATAAAATAAAACAAAAAAATAAAAATGAAGTAGAATAGCTCAAATTCTAAATGCACAAATTCAATTTAATAGCAATTTCAAACTTTCAAGCTTTGAAACATTTAACAAGAAAGAAAAAAGAAAAAAGAAACTAATCTTATTTTAACCATCTGAAGCTCAATCTTGGTTATGAAATTCCCCCCAAAAATTTCCAGGTTGAAACTAACCAATGTGACCGGTTTTGATTAACCCGGACTTTGTGACCCCAAACATGAACCAATCAAAACCAACAACATTAGTTTGTTTCAGCTCGAGTCTCAACTTCAACATCATTTTCCTTACCCTAAACATGTAATCATGTTTGAAATATATATATATAGAGAGAGAGAGAGAGAGAGAGAGAAAGGGAGAGAGAGAGAGGTGTTCAAGGATAAAGTACAGAATTACAATAATACAACACCTTCGCTTTCAAAGGATAAATACCGGAAGCCATGGAAAGCACTGTATACAATTTCATGTCTCAGAATTACATAGTTTGTCATTTAGGTCAAGAATACTGCGCTAGATTGACAGAAGGCAGTCTGGTCAGTCTTCCAAGTTCAACACTGTACAGTTTGTAGATAGTCCCCAATACAAATCACCATCCAAAAAATTTCAAAACCCCATGATACAGTTTTCCCCATATACTCTATACCCAAAACAAACATCATATTTGCAGATTGATTTACCCAATTTTTCAAGTCAAAATATCAAAACGACTCCAACTAGAGAGCACAGAGAAGAGATACATTGCACATGATCAATGCTTTTGCAATCAAAATACTCCTGCTTCAGCTCCCCAAAGCTTTCTTAAGAAAACCATATAGTACAAAATCTACACGCCCCTTTCTTTGATGCACATCCTAATCTTTATAGACATATATATATATATATATATGCGACAGCACTCACAGCCACCACTGTTTTGGACTGCGGGCAATCTGCTTCTGTCTTCACTAATGTTAGCTCTTATCTGGCTTCTCATCTGGACTGCCCGGTAAAGGACTTCCAGGAGAATCCTCTGAGTAAGACCCATATGATTGATGGACTTGGATGTTCAAACCATCCATGGGAAGATGTTCCTGGATGATCTACATGAACACCAGCATGGTCAGTGAACTATTATATATATATATATTGTTGATTGGCAGCAAAAGAAATACTATTAAAAAAGGAGAACAAGGAGTCCACGGACAGAAAAAACCACCAGAGTCTCACACTACATATCACACACTATCCTCATATCTATAGATATCCCAAAAATAAAATAAAATAAAATAAAGTGAATTCCCTCTAAAAGAAGAGAAAACTGAAGTCTTACACTACATATCACAGACTGCCCACATATCTATATAAATTCACAAAAAAAAGAAAAAAAGAAAAAAAAAAGAAAAAGAAGGTGAAATCCCTGTATAAGAAGCGAAAACTGAAGCCCAAAAAGATGGCAGATAACAAACTTTATCTCATAAAGAGCCTAACTCTTCAATCATATTCTCAAAGATCTTAGCATTACGCTCCAACCAAATGACCCAAAATATTTGCATGAAAAACATAATCCCACAAGAATTTTGCTTTATCATTGCACCCAAAACTCTGGAATTCAATCAGAAGCATTTGGGAACAAGAAGCTGGTGCTACCCAACAAATCTCCACAAATTGAAAAAGTCAATGCCAAAAAGACGAAACTAATGGGTAATACAAAAATAAGACGATTCATCATCTACCCTACATATGATGCACCATTGATCCAAAATTTTGCTTTTGTTTCTGTTTTATTTATTATTTTTTGCAGGTGGGGGGAGGGGGCTATATCTTCTTCATGACAATCCTGATATTCTAATGGAATACAGATTTTTCACGAAGCCATATTACTTGACTAGAAGATCAAAAAATGAAGATACACTCTGGATTGGACAAAGAGCAAGGGAAAGAAAACACGTGTATTATATATGTCAGTTACGGGAGTTCCAGCATGTTAACTTAATATAAATTTCAACATTTCTATCAAGTATATGTAAAATCAGATAATATTGTCACTATAGATCTCAGTTGCACCAGGTAATTAATAGTGTTACCTGATCACCAGCCTCTGAGCCCTCCGAATGGAAGAGAATAGGACGGCATCGCTTATCTTCATTCATCAAGCTAGAATTCTGGAAGTGGGTGACAAGGGCTGCCTTTCCTTGAATTCTGGCATATGCCAATGAAGCAACTTTTTCACTATTGAACTTCTCCCACTTCTTTCCATTAAATGCCTGCACAGTTTAGGAACGTGAGCAAATCATACAACTTGCTTTTGAAAACTTCATCACTCACATTTATTTTCCTTTCGTGAGAAAGAAATGTAATACTGGCAGTTGCTAATCTGCAAGCAGGATATATGGAATAATACAAAAGGGAAAAAAAGTTAATAGTGCACATCGATTTTTTTTTTCAAGAGACACCTCATCTGAAATACCTCATAGAACGGAATAATGTGCGAAGGAGACAGCATATTAATAAATGCATAGCCCACGTTGCATTTGTTCTGCACCCACATGCAAGAACCAAAATCAGTTGTGATGAATTCAAGTAGTATAGTATGACCTCATCAAAATGCCCATAACAAAAATTACCTTGAAATCAATGGGCAGATAAAGAAAATCATAAGTGCCCCTGTGATTTTCATCAATGGCTGCAAGTAACATCTTTGAGGTGTACCTGGATGAAGACAATGGCGAATATCACAATGACATCCAGTCCAGCACTAAAAATCTATAGCTGTTATTCACAAATGAGAAAGATTACAGAGTCCATACTTATTGGGGATGTTTTTGATCATTAAAGTTGTCCGAGTATCTTCCCCACTTTTAATCTTATTCAAATCAAGCTGGAACTGTTTTTTGTTATCTATCTGGTTCACATTGTTCTCAACACGTTGGCTCCACCCCCGCTCAAAACCTTCCATGCGGGGGGGTGCTAGTCCTGGGTAATGACCATTACCAAGGAATACAGGACTAAGCCTCGAAGAAGACATCATTCTGAAAACAGGGGAACCATTTTCTCCAATGTTTCCAGCAAAAGCAGCGCCGGCATTTAAAGCAGGACGAGAGCCCACATTCGCCAAAAAACTTGCATCATTGTGGCCTAAACCCATGCTTCCAAAACCAAGTGGACTCGTTAATGATGTTTCTGGAGACTCCTTGTAAAAGCCAAAGTGCCTTTCCAAAGGAACACCGGATGGGGCAGATCCAACGTGATGGTGTGGATGGTGGGGAGATAAACCAATGAAAGATTCATGGCGACCAGTGTGTGGGAGGCCATGACTCTGTCCATTGGATGTAAATGGATGCCCAATGGATGGTGGTTGCCAAGCAGAAGAATTAGTTTGTTCTGTGTATGGTCTGGGACTTCCCCAAAGAAATTGTGGCCCAGACAATGTTTCAATACCAGATCCATTTGAACTGGAACCACCAAAAGTGGACATGGTCCCAGAATATTGATTCAGCTTTGGTTCTGGAAATGAATGAGACTGTTGAAAAGCAGCTCCGTAGTTTGAATTTGAGTTGGTGAATTTAGGCTCCACCTGGCTACCTCTTCCATTGCCAATAGGTGCAACCCTTGCAGAGTTTGATCCCAGAGGATGTAGAATTGAAGCCAACCCAGGTAAATTATTACCAATTGTAGGGCTCATAGAACTGAAACCAGGGGAATGGCTAAGAGTTTGCAGAGGATTACGCTCTATAGGGCTGCCAAACTGAGGCCAGCTACCTGCCAGGAATGTGGGTAGCAACTCAGTTTTTAAGTCAAAAAGCAGATAAATAAAATAGAAAAAGGATCAAGAAATCATAACTCAAACGAGAAGACACTAACACTCTCACAAACTAAAAAATAAGGGAAATTAATCCCAGAAGGCATTACCTGGAGGGGAGTTGGCTATTGATGAACTCAATTGATGTCTGAAACTTCGAGATTCATCTTGTTCAAGGTCTTGGTTCAGATGCAACATAAGGCTAAAGGTAAAATATGTAACAAGGCAACATTTGTATCAGTTAAACTATTTGACAGACACAGAGAGATCCACTTAACAGATTCTACAAATCAAACACAAAAATGGCTCAAGTTTAACAATAAATAACAAAAAGTAAAACAAAACATGATGTTTGGCAGGGAACAACAACAACATAGATACACATAATTAATACTTCTATGACTATAGGGGATTTCTAAAAGACATATGTATATAGAGAGCCAATGGTAGAGTAATTAAAAACCGGGAAAAGCATGGAAGATGGGGCATTAAATTTTGTTATTCTTTGTCCTTAAATGGATCTCATCAACTGAGCACAATGCAAACATACAACAGTAGCAAACAACTTTGCCACTAATATCATGTTATCTGGAGCTTTGGGAGAAATATTAAATCCTAAAAGAAGATAAAACATCTCTTAATACAAGCATTAGAATTTGTTAGTCAAAGTAAGAAAGTTATTATCATAGACAACTTAACAACAATTTCTAGCCCCATACTGAATGAGCTGAAATACTTTTACGTTAACCTAACATTATCCTTCTAGTCAGCCCCTCATTATCTAGAACCCTGCAACCCTCCCACTTTCTCGTTGGTCTTTTCTAACATAATCAACCCATCTAATCAGGTACATAAGAATGGAGAAGGGAAGGGGAAGGAGAAGGGAAAAAGAGAGACATATAGAGCTCAATCATTGTTTTATAGTGCAAGTACACATCCGAAGTATATAAGCAAGAAGGGTGGCAGACATGGGTGGGTTTTGACCTGATGGTGTTGGGAACCTCATTAACCAAATTCTGCACTAGGATTGGCCTACATATTTCATACTGGTAATACAAGAAGTTTGCACTGCCTACTCTTTTAGCCTCAAAATTCGCTTGGTCACTGTTTAACCTGTACTTGGGCATATAATGTTTTTAAGCTAAGAAGCATGGACACGGACATGTGACACGACACGGATACGACACGGACACGCCGACACGCTAATTTTCAAAAAATGCAGGGCACGACACGCGGGGGACACGCATGAAATATATAATTTTATATATTTATTATATGTTATATATATGAATATATCATTCAAAGATAATAAAAATATTAAATATGACAATAATTCTTATGAATTTATATGATTTTTATTTTATTATTGTATCTTAAGTTGTTTTGTTCAAACTTATAATTGGTTTCACATGTGTCTAATTGATAGACACGTGTGTTTAAGAGATACACATGTATTCTCCAAGTGTCCAAAGAGTGTCCGGGTCTTTAAAAAATAGGACATGTTTTAAAGAGTGTCGGACACGTGTCGGGAAAGTGTCCAAAGAGTGTCGGTGTCCGACACGGATACGACACGGATACGTTACCTTCTTAGAAGTGTCCGTGCTTCTTAGTTTTTAAGCCAAGCATGATCTTGCTTTGGGGTGCAACCTGGGCAAATTGAACCCGAGCAACCCGAAAACTGGGCAACATTTTTTTGATTTCGGCCTGTGCTTGAGCTGAATTTGTTCAGCCCAAATTAAATTCGGTTCAATCCTGAATTGGGTTGTCGAGACAAACTGAACCCAAATTCATCACATATATGTCGGTGTGTAATTCTTTGACTTGACTTTCCCACTCTAAACCTTTTTCATTCTGCTATTTCATTTTATACTCCATTCTCTTTAAAGAAGTTGACCCACTGCAACTTTTTCCTCCTCTCAACTGACCCACCATCTTCATCACCTCTACCTCTCTCTCTCTCTCTCTCTCTCTCTCTAGAAACACCATCAAATTTACAGACAAACATCTCTACAAGTTGCCTGAGACAATCTACAACTTTTTAGAGTTTTCCACAAAGAGAAGCCAACTAAGTTGTCTAAATGACTTGTTCCAAGCTTTCTTTGAGTCCACAATTCTCTGCCACTATTCTACAGAATGACTTTTGACTTGGAAGTTGTAAATCAAGATCATATCCTCCTTTGTTACTTGTAAGTGCAAAAACAACTTGATCAGAGTCTTCAATCTACTACAGAAATCTTTAAAAAAACCAAGCTAAATTTCTTTCTTCCGTGATGCATCTAACTGCATCCAAGATCTCTAATTTGCTTGTCTCTCTAATAACCATGAGATATCATATTCTCGCCATCTTCTTCCTTACAGAGATTTCTAATGCATGCTTCCTGCCTATGAAGCACAGGTACGGGTATGAGTATTGGTACTGGTACGATACGGGTACGTCGATACGGTAAAATTAAAAAAAAATAGGGTACGGGTACGGCTTGGTATGCTTGTAAAAAAATATTTATTTTTAATTTAGAGTAATGCAAAAAATAATTAAATGGTTCAATTTGTTAAGGTCCAACCTATTATTAACATTTAATGCCAAAAGGAAAAGTATAAATCAAAATTAAATATCAATATATTAAACAACTTACAAATCATAGTTTAATTTTATAATCATGCTAAGCATAAAACAAAAACTGAAAAAGAAATCTAGTGAAATGAGTTTTATCTCTGTAGTAGAAGGAATATATTGTTTCAACTGAGGTACGGTACGGCTTGGATATATACTAGATACGTCTGGGTACGTTAAAAATTAAGAAGAAAAAACTTGAGTACGTGTTTCGTGTACCCGGTACGTATGCAGAAATACCATACGAGATACGGTACGCCGGTAAGTACCCGGTACGGATACGGCATATTTTTCGAAGTACCCATGCTTCATAGCTTCCTGCCCATTATCTTCATTCACTTCTTTCTGATCTGAGTGCAATGCATATTTAAATAAACAGCAGCAATCCCCGCCACAGAGAAAGAAAAGCAATGTTACAGTGAAAGAGCTCTCATAGCCAAAAGTGTTCCTCATTAGAACCACAGAAGTGCTTACCAAATAAATAAATAATAATTAAATACCTGCCCCTATCAAGTTAATAAACATAAACCTTTTGAACAAGGAGATAAATTACAGCAAGAATGATCTTATGTTATATTCCATCAAGCTCCATTCAAGCACCCTCAAACTCCTCATGTTACTTTCTTATTCTTCATTGACTACCTAAAATCCATCACTTCACCTGTAAGTTCCTCAATGACATCGATATATCTATCCATTTGTTACATGCATCTAGCTATATGTCCAATAATTCTGTTTTGTTTGAAAGGCACAGAATGCTTAAAGTTAGTATGGTGCAATCTCATTAAACTATGGATGGATCAATTTGATTAATCCAACAAAACCAGGGAACCTCAGCCACCAAATACAATCAGAATTAATGCAAAATGAAACAATGCAGTAAATGTGCCAAGCAGTTGTAATGGTAAAATGAAATCAGAGAAACTAGTTTGGAAGAATCTGATCAATTGAGGAAATTGCTAAACTTGGAACACCTAATGCAATAAAGATAAGAATAAAGAAAGTCAGCAAACGCACTTTCGACGAGCTCCCCCGGGGCGACTAGGTTCAAGCTTTATGCGTTTACCAGCTATGTCACTCCTATTTAAGGACCTAAGTGCTGCTTCTGCGGCTCTAACATCATAAAATTCAATGAATTTATGGTGCCTCTTGTGTGGTGTTTCCCTTATCTGCTTGTGCAATGAATACCAAATTTGCTAAGATGTCAGCCCAAATCACAAGAATGCCTGATGGAAGAAAACCATCACAAGCAGAAAAAAAAAAAAGAGGGGGGGGGGGGGGGGAAAAACAAATAGAATAATTAATCACCTCTTTAACCTCGCCATAAGCCCCAAATATTTGACGAAGGTCATCATTGGAAACCGAAGGATCCAAATTAAAAACTACTAAAGTTCCTTGATTAATGTCCTTATCTGATGGGTTATCCTGGTGTGGCACCAAAAATAAAGACAAAATAAAGTAAAAATGTTATGAAGTTAGTATCAACATATAGAAACTGAAATACACGAAGCTGACAATTTGTTTTGAACCTTAGGAATTGAGAAGTGAATGTCCAGTTTCCTCCGCCTTAGTGGCTTGTTTTGTAATGCCCGCATAGCAGTTCGAGCAGCACGGATATCGTAGTAAGATATCATCACAAAGCCCCTATGTTTACATGCAGTGTATAGCGTTCTGATGTCTCCATATTGCTAAAGATAGAAATATCACAAATTGAGAAGCAAATAAGATCTGTTAGTAATTTCTTGTCAGGTCATAAAGAATGGTAATCTTATTCAAGACCTGCTATCATACAGTTTATGCACACACAGAAGAAAAATAAGAAGGCAGCCCAATCATCAAGTTCTTTAAAAAATGGACATATGGAAGAATATAAGAAATAAGGTTGTGGACTATCATATGGTACTCTTTCATGTAGAGGATGAAAAAAATTCCAATGTAAACAACTCAAAATATTTTCAAACCAGAGTGGACTAGAAGAATCTAATCACACATTTAAGCATATGATGTGGTGGCTCCAGCACCATTAAATATAAGGATCAACAATTTTTATATGAGATTCAAATATCAGAAAGCACCATAAAGCATATATAATGGGAATATATTGAACCAATTTTTAGCATGACATAATAATTAAATATGAAAACCCATCCACAGCCAGCAGAAGGAAACTATGAAACCATCCATCTGACACAGGAATAACAATTAAAAGAGCGTAGAAAAATAGTACGGAAAAAAATGTGATGGTTGCATATGATAACAATAAAGGAAAATGTTATTCTTCCAGAATTTTCATATAGAATCATTCATCAGAATGATGTTTCAGTGACATTTTTATATTAAGACGCATCTTAATGGGTTTTTGTTGTTAAAATGATAGGCCCATAATTCTGCCACATCATTCTGTATACATTTTTTGTGTACTTTTCTGTTTGAATATCATTGCTCTAGCTAAACTTGCAACCAGTTAGTTCAATAAATTCCCTCCAGAGGATAAGTTATATTCTTGATCAAACAAACAACTAGGAGAAATAGGCTGAGCACGGATAAACAATATCGTAAAGAGAGAAGCAAAGGACAATGGTAAGAATGATACATCCTCATGAAGATCAAAGTCACATTCTCAATACTTCAGCTGGGAAACCTGACCTTAGGGACCATATATCCCAAAGGCCCAAAACAGATGTGTGGAATGCAAAATCAAACCATAGAGTCATGAAAGCAAAATTAAGTGGTTTCTCCAGCAAAAAATTAAATTGAATTAAATAAAAACTTAAAAATAGTGCAAGGATTTAGCTAATTATATCCATAGAAGCAGCTATGAAGTAAAAAATACAAGTCAATTAAGGCCTGTTTTGGTGACCTGGCTAAAAGCCAGCTTTTTAGCTTTTTTAGGTCACATCATCTCTCTACTTTTTTATACGTTTTTTCAACCAAAAAAAATAAAAAATCAAAAATCAAAAAGTCAGCTTTTAACCTACTTCCCAAAACAAACCTAAGTACAAATAGGTGGTAGTGTGGACACTATAACAGCCAAAACCTAACTACAAAGAGGTTCAACTGACTTGTATTACCTCAAAGAGAGCTCTCAGCTCTGAGTCCTCGACATTACTATTAATATTTCGGACAAACAAGGTCCTGGAAGGATGCTCCCCAAATGGATGTTCTCCAGCAACAGTTCCCACACCATTTGGAAAACCAAAATTAGCGACCCCATTACCAACACCACCCTCAGATAAACTTATCTTCGACAAACCCTTAAGCAAGCCCTCTTGTAGATCAGATTCCAATTCCATACCTCCACCACTTCCAAAAAGATCATACTCTTCCAATTCCAAGTCATCCAATTGATTAGGTAACACACTTATGTCAAAACCATCTATTATGCCAGCTAAAAGCTCATCCTCATCATCAGGAAGTAAACTTCCAATTGCATGACTTTCAACATCTTCAAGCAGGTCATTACTTTCCACATCTGGATCAAATTTGTTTAAGCTGGGTGAGCTATCATCAACAGATTGAAAACCATGATCCACGGTGTTTAATTTCACTGCCACAAAGAGAAAGAAATAATATTATTTCTCAAAATAAAAATGGCATAGTTATCTTCAAGCAATAGCAGACGCATACACTTTTCATGGGGAAGAACTGGTAATGAAGTGGAAAAAAGGGTAGCATCACTTGAGGCATGACAGACATCAGATCCATACAAGACTCCCCATGCTCCACTTCCAACTTTCTTGGAAACATTGGATGGAATCTTTAAGTAACCTAGAACACACGAATCACATGATTCATCAATAATAGTACACACTTCACTTTTTGTTTTTTAAGAAGAAGAATTTCAGAAATTACCAGGAAAGGTATCCTCCGATGACTGTTGCATTGCATTACCTATTGGCCAATAATAAGAAACCTACACAAATATAAAAAAGTTAATTCCTGACAATGAAAGGAAGATTAAAAGAAACACTTCGAGTGAAATAATATTATTTCTTTCTCTTTGTGGCAGTGAAATTAAACACCGCAGATCATGGTTTTCAATCTGTTGATGATAAAGCAAAATTTTCACCAACCACCTTGACTGCTTCTTACTTACCCCAAAAAACAACCCTGACTGGGTTGATTCTGAGGCACAATAATATCAAAAACCTTTTTTTATTTTTATTTTTTTACATGCTATGGTACAACAAAACCTAGCATCAAGGGCATTACGACGATATACAAGAGGAATGGAGAAAAACTCATGATTGGTGTCGAGGGGAAGATCTGTTTATCATATAGTTTTTTTTTATAAAAAAGGCAGATCAGCTAATAAAACCCATCAATTTCATTTGCATACCAGGATCAGCAAATCATTAAAATCACAAAACTACATCAGAATAACGAATCCACCTATAAATAACAACAAAGTAGTACACCTATTTGAACCACCTTTCAAAGAGCTTGAAACCTTAGAAACCAAAACTCAATTTTATGTAATTTGACTATTGAAGCCTTCCAAATTGAAAACACTATACATACTTATCCCGACTTGCCAAGGTCCTTGAGACCATGTTAATAGAGTCTCTTAGGTATTACAACAAATTTCAAACAAGCCTTCATTGCCCTCAACAAATCAATTGTAATTGGCCAAACTATTGAAGAGATTAAGCATAAAAATCAAATCTTCCTTAAGAATAGATTAATAATTATTTCCCTAAATTACAGACTACTTCAACATGCATCATAATTCAACTATTAGTTACAATAGTTGCAGAGTGAACCTATGAAAAAATTCCTAAATGAAGACATGAAAGTCAAACTGTGATATGTATGAACCTTTTTTTTTGGGGGGGGATAAATAAACAAATATTATTAAGAAAGTATCAAAAATGATGCAACGAATACAAAACAGCATCCCCAATGAAGGAAAACCAGAAATAAGTATAACCAATCACCTCATCTAAAAAATCTAAAAAACAAATATATCCGATCAACCTTCCTCTCCAACCAATTATACATAACTCCAAGAAGACGATTCTCTAACCAAAGGACACCATGATACACCTCTCCTCTCCCGCTCCAACCAAACAATCCACATAAAAAAAAAAAAAACGGCGCCAACACCCACACCCGGCAACGCCGACACCCAATCCGAGCACCCTGCTAGGCCCAAAGCTCCAACACCCCTTCCGGTTAAACCCAAGCAATCCCAAAAAGCAAGCAAATAAAACCCCATAGCCACGAAGCCACTGAACAATGAAGAAACAAATGATCCACAGACTTCGAAGCCGCACAGCACATAAAGCACCGATTCACTAAAACATGCCCACGTCATGCCAAATTATCCAATGTGAGATTTCGCCCCAAAGCAGCTGTCCACATGAAGAAAGCCACCTTAGACAGAACACCGGCACCCAAACACTCTTCCAAGGGAAAACCCTCCCACAATCCGCCACCAAACCCCAATAGAAAGATGAAACTGATAACCGTCTCTTTGCCCCCACCCCATGCCACACCATAACATCTAATCCCACTCCAGTGATGCCCAACCCATATAAGAAGCCCCGCAGCTCCACTAACTGAGCCACCTCCCAATCTTGCACCTGTTGCCGCAACTGAATATCCCACACCACCATATCGCCACCCCCCCCCACACACATAAGATGCCACCGTAGCCTCCCGATCAACCACAGCCCCACCGCCCACATGTAAACACAGGCTTGGGACTTGAGGAATGATCCTTCCAAGGGCCCAGGTTCGAAACCTCCAAGGGTGTGCAAACAATTTCTTAGGGCGTCCATATGGGCTTTGCCCTGACTTTAATTGGCACCCCGCAAATGGACTGTGGGATTGGTTCCCAGATTGGTCAGTCCAATGGTCCGGATACTGAGTTATAAAAAAAATGTAAACACAGGCATATCTCAACCAAAATCAAAACAGAATTGCACAGGAGACAAATAGCACCACAAGCGTGGGTGTCCATTTACGCCCCTCTCTCAATTAAAAAAAAATTAAATCCAAATTTCTGGTGAACCCAAAAACCAGTGAAGATAAAGTCGAAATTCATCAAACTTACAAGACGATCAACAAAGTACCCACAAAAGAAGGGCACTGATTTCACAAAAAAACACAACCTTTATCACTACTACAAGTAAAGCCCAAATTTTCCCAATATCGCCACTCAAAAAACTTTGCCAGAAATACAACTTCAAAACACATAAATCAAACACACAAAAAGCAGAACAATTCATCAACACTTGGCATTTCAAAAAAACAAATTAACCCCAAAAAAAATCCAACACACTCACATATTTACCTGAAAAAAGGGAAACTCAGCGAACCCTAAAACCAAAAGAGATAGTTGAATGATTATATACCAATCCAGAACAGATTCGATGAAAACCTTCCCACCATCAAAGGAGAGAAAGAAAGTAGAGAGACGTGAAGCGAGAATGGTCTTTCTTTCACTCAATTACTTCTTTTACTTCGTACGCAGCCACAACATATACATATATATATATATATAATATATATTTAGAGAGAGAGTAACGAGAGAGAGGAGAGAGATGATTGGGTAAAGAGGGTTCAGAGAATGATTGAGAGAGAGAGAGTTGAGTTGTGATGAGAGGGGTAAGTGTTCTGAAGAATTTAGCTCTATTTAAATCTGTTTTGGTGTCCGTATGCAACCCAGTTTTATTTATTTATTTTTATTTTTTAATGTTATCTATAAAAAAAAAATGTGCAGATAAAGAAAAAAATTAATAATTTATTTCAAAACGACTAACCATTAAAAAAAATCAGGATTAACTTCTCGTTTGGGTCGGATTTTCTTGGCCTTCTGAAAAAATCAAGTGAAAAGTTTAAAATAAAAACAAAATTAGGTATTTGATTTCAAGACTTGTTAATTTTTCATTACAAAATGAATAGAGAAAATTATTATTTATCTGTTATGTCAATTTGGTCATTATAATTTTAATTACATCAAATTTTAATCTAATTGATAATGTATTTTTAAAAGTAGATATAAATAAATGGGCAAAATAATTAAGTTAGTATTTTCAAAATAATTGAGGAGTTGATATTAATTTAAAACGATATGTCTCTTTATCAATTAAATTAAATTAACATATTGTGAAAGATTAATAAAAAAAATTAAAAACATAGATATTATATTGACAGGAGAAACAAATTATATAGAATATCGGTATAATCTTTCAAAATGACTTGCTTTCAATATTTTATGATTTTCAATTAATCAGAAAGTGAAGAAGTCATTTCAGAAAAATAAAAAATCAGGAAGTCACCAACAAAAGACAGCCCCAGAAGTTAAAAAATAATATGGTTGCCAAACAAGACTTACGAGCGTTTAATTAGGATATAATTAATTTTCTAATTTTGGGAATCAAAGAGCAATTTCAAGCGTGGAATGGATTAATTAATGATATGATAATTACTGCAGGTCACGCGTGCAAGTGCGAGTTGATTTAAATTACCGCTTTGCCCTTCATGCAACCATGGGACTTTCAATCTTTTTCTCTTTTTTTGGGGATAAATTTGATTTATTTACGCATAATCCCTTTGTTATATGAAAATAAGCACATAATCTATTATGCATTATAGGTTAAAGCGTATCGTCAAGTCTGTTAATAATTTAAGCAAAAAGACTAAAATACTAATATATATATATATATATATATATAAGTTACATTATTATGTAAGTCATAGACATTTCTGTTATATTTTGAAATGTAAAATTCACTTTAAACCCTTTGTGTTTTACTTTATGTGTGATTTATCTCTTGATACTTAGAAATGAATGCATAATTCCCTTACTGTTAGCATGTGCTTTACACTTATTGTTAACTTAGATAAAATGATTGATTGTGTACTTTAATAAACAATTATAGAGAAGTTATGTAATTATTTCTAAATGATAATGAGTAAATCTCACAGAGTAAACCACAATGAGTAAAGTCAAATGTGCCGCTTTTGTTTTTCGAAGTTAACTTGTAATATTTTCAAATTTTACTCCATATATACTTATTAACGATAGCCTTACTACCAAAAAAATAAATTATACTTTGCACTGTTAAAGGGCTATCTAATTCTTACTTTGGATTTTAAACTTTAAAATTTCCTATTCGGTCCATCATTAATGAGTTTCTGGCAATGAATTACAAATTTTTAACCAAAAATTTCGTATGTCGTTAATACTTTTCTAACTTTGCCGTTTAAATTTTACAATTTTCTTACTTGACCCTTCGATTCAATGTCACGTGGTGTTTATCATTACGAGTGTTTGACAAAAGTTTTCAATTTGACCACTTTGACAAAAATTCATTAATCAGTAACCATATGTAGACAATATGAAGTTTAAGAATCAAAGTGAGTGATGATTATTAGTTTGACCATGCATGAGGGAAAGGGATGCAAATTTTATAGGTGGATGGAGGGAAGAGGCGAGACGTTGTGAGGGGATAAGAGGTAAGTAAATGTAGGCGGAAGGGAAAATAAGGAGTTGCATATGGTAGTCGGAGAGAAACAATTAGTATCAGTAATAATAAAGGAGGTTAAGTTGGGAGTTAAGGTGGTTGTTAGAAGTGATAACAATAACGGACGGAGTTCAAAAAAAAGTAATGGTTGAAAGTAAGTGTAGAGTTTTAGATTTTGTCTTTTATGATAATTTGATTTAGATACTAAAATTATATAAATGTGGAGTGTCTAATAAATTTATTATTATTTTTTCTTTGTGTTGCCTTTCAAAACTAATTCAATACATATACCACTAATTAGATTATGGAATTAATGTTGCATATGTCGGTGGACCACCTCCCTAAAATAGTGGTAGTCACCTAAAATAAAACATATTTTAAATTGCTTTCTCAATAAATAAATAAATAGGAAGTTCTTTTAATTATGGTAGGAATATTCAATTCATCATCTACATTATTTGTGTAAAATCTTTGAAAATCCATGTCCGCAAACTTTATCCAATTCAAAGAGCAAACAGAATCTAACACTTAATGAATTTTGATGTGGCTGAGATTTGTTTATTTTTGTTGCAATTTATTCAAAGTTAAAAATTAATAATTTATAAAGAGAATTTGAAATTACTATTTTCTCAACTTCATTATATTTAGATTTTTAAATTTTATTTAAGTTATTTTTACCGCATAAATTCTAACTAAAAGATACTATATATAGCCTGTGTTCGGCAAGGGCTTTTTCAGGCTTTTTTGGCTAATTTAGCCACAAAAAATAAAATAAGCTATTTTAGCCATAACAAACAAAACATCACATCCAACCTATAATCATTACATTCTTCTCTCACAAAAAAAGTCAAAAAAGCCAAAAAGTCCTTCCCAAACCAAGCTTTTTAGCCCAGGCTAAAATAGCCAAAAAAGCCAAAAAGTCAAAAAGCCAACCCACTTCCCAAACGGAGGCATAGTTTGATTCAAAATCTCTAAATATAAAAGTTCGGATTTTCTCACTTTTGTGTCAATCTTTTTCAAATATATTTATTATTTGTTTTTACATTTGTAAAATTTATTGTACGCTTGTAATTCTGTGTTGAATTTTTTTTTTTTTTGGATACTTAAATGTCTAATTTGATGTAATTTAAGTTATATTGGTATTTTAAAACCAAAAAAAATTAGGATAATATGTGTTCTTCCAGTTTTATTGGTTACTTTATGTAATATATTGGAGAAAAATATAAAATAATAGGTATATAATTAATAGAATTATTAAAATATATTATATAGAATATGGGGCGAACATGTGATATTTTGTGCCGTTTTGGCAACTTTCCAAAAACGCCACGTTTTGAGCAATTTTCCCAAAACGCCACCCTTGCAAAAACGCCACTATACCCATTTGCAAAGACCCAAAAAAGCTACTTACAAATTTACCAAACTACCCTATAGAACATTATAATTAATTAATTCAAAAAAATGTTGACATGTAAAAAGTAAGGATATTTTGATCATTTCAGAGTGATGTGACACTTTTAAAAAATATTAAATCAAAAAGTAAAAAAGTCAATTTTTTATCAACTTCCTAAATCACTTTCAAAAAAATCAAAAAACTTGATAAAAAACTAAAAATCAATTTTTTACCAATTTCTCAAAACACTCATATTTCCACATATGGGCACCATCCCAAATTCTCCGTAAGTTTTGCATATGGGCGCTTTATCCATGTGCTAAGCCTAGTTCGATGTTTGGATTCACAAGACGAAAATGTCTTAGTGCTGTTGTCATTATAATCAATCACTTGTATCACCTAAATTTAGGTCTTGAACAGTTGAGTTTTAAAAATCTGTTTTTCATTTTATTTTTTTCTTCAAAAGCTTAAAAATTAGTTTCGGAAAAAAATGAGAAATTACCAAACGATAGCCTTTGCACCCTTAAAAGTATTACCTAATTCATTTGAATTTTAAACTTCAAAATTTTCAATTTGGTCCACCAATTAATGAGTTTTCGCAATGTGATTTCTCTAGTAACTCTGGTAGAATTTTTAGACCAAAAATTTAATGTGACATGAATACTTTTTTTCATTTTGACCCTTCAAATTTTACAATCTTCTTACTTGGCCCTTCAGTTCAATGCCACGTGGTGATTTTTCGTTGAGAGTGTTTGACAAAAGTTTTCAATTTGACCACATTGACAAAAAAAAATCAATAATTAGTAACCAAATTGAGACAATATAAATTTTACAGATCAAAGTAAGTGACGATGGTGAGTTCGGCTATGTCACGAAGGATTAAGCATTATGATGGTTAGTAATTGAAGTTATTTATGGTCAATTCTTAAACAAATCAATAAACGCAAGCGGAAGAAATATTCAAATGAGGGTACTAAAATAATCATTGGAACTTCTATTTTTATTACAAAATTATACTGACTAAAAAATCCTATATTTATATAGAAAAATATCAAAAAAGTGTTGTGTGTGTCTATTTCGCAGCCTTGCATCTAAGATTTTTCAAAAGCTATTTTTGGATTGCATTGTTTCCTAAAAATTTGTAAACAACTATAAGCACATGACAGCGTGAGAAATATTATACCAAGAGTATAAGAGACACGAAATAACCATAGATAGTTAGTTAGGCCAAAATATTTACATAACTCAGTTTGGTAAATAAGTCATTAGTAACCAAATCATTTAAGGAGCAGAAACTGAAATACAGATATTATGTAAATATATAACCATAACCACGGTACAGAACAAAATAGAACAGAACAGAGGTCACAGAAGTGACAATCAGAATAGAGGTACGGATTCAAGAGGTGGCTCGTACGAATTCAAGAGGTGGCTCCCACAAAAGTGTAGCACTTAGCTCCGCACAGCACTTTATTCCGCACTGAACAGAGGTACGGATTCAAGAGGTGGCTCGTACGGATTCTAGAGGTGGCTCCCACAACAATGTAGCACTTAGTTCCGCACAGCACTTTGCTCCGCACAGAACAGAAGTCAATGGATCCATGACAAACAGAGGACCACAAAGTGGTCAACACAGAGACCAATGGTTATTTAAGTCCCTCAAGGCGTGGGACTCTCGTGGTGGTACTTACAAAATATAATTACATATAAGGTCATAGTCAAATATTC